ATATATACACACACATATATATACATTAATATGGTCCTGTGGCTTTTAATGAAATTTCAAGTTACATTCAAGAACTAAAGAATCTCAAACCTTTCTAGAACCAATAATAATGAGATTGCAGGTATATACTATATAAACAGTATACCAGGTTACAATTATTTTTCTATTTTGCAATTTGGATTTCATGTTCAATTTTCACTATTCAACCCTAAAATTTACACACAGTTTGTTATTTAAGGATAACACCACCTCGGCCACAGGACTGTCGTGAGGGTTCTAGCTGACAGACTGATTTCACACACTGTCGTGCGTTTGCTAAAAACCACTACCCCACATAACAGCACTGACTCTCTGTTACAGATGAGACAAACTAAATCTCTAGGAGGTGAAACGTCTCCACACTGTTCTACTAAGTAGAAAAGAAGGGGTCTATCCAATTGCAAAGCACGCAAAGCACATTCTCTTTTCACTACAACACGGCTGTTGTTTCCATACCACAAAACTTATTTAAAAGGCCTTCTAAACACTAAGTTAACACACAAAAACAAAAGCCACAATATAGCCATATAAATAAAGCCAGACTTAAAAAAACCAGCAATAGTGATAAAGGACACACAGTGCAGTAAAAAAGGATAAAAGTTCACATGCAAAGGCAGAAAGTGAAAGATACGAACGGCAACTTAGAGACCAGCTTTACGTCCATAGTTTGGGTTCTTGAAATTATTAATAGGACTCTTGTAAATCGGATTTTCTTGCTAAAGTAAAAGAAATAGTGTCTAATGATTTCATCAGAAAGAAAATTGACATTTATAGTGTTTCAGCACTATAAAGGAAAATTTTACTATTTCTATACTTTTGAAATTAGTAACTTTTTTTAAAAACCCAAGCAAATTGTAGTAAAATGGAATTGACTAAAACTCATTTATAATTTAAATATACTGAAGATAGTCACTGCCTTCTTGTATCAAAAGATAATACACAGGGCTGACATTTAGCCACCTCACCCTTTGACTCCGTATTTCAAAACACTTAAATGCTGGTGTAAACTTTTCACTTAGGGCTTTCAAAATTTTTTTATATAACAAGGTTTATGGAGATATAATTTCCACAGAGTAAGATATACCTTTGTTAAGTACAGAGTTCCATTAGATTTCAAATGCATGAACACACCCGCAATCAAGTTATCCCAAAAAGATCCTTTATGCCCCTCTGTGGTCAACCCTTTCCCTTATTCCAGCCCCTAGCAAACACTGATCTGATTTCTGCCCCTACAGTTTTGCCTTTTTCCAGAATCTCATAGAAATGGCATCACAGAGTATGTAGCCTTTTGAGTCTGGCTGCTTTCCATGTTGGTTCTGATTTTTTTTTTTTTTTAAAAGAGAGAAGGTTTCCACTGAATAGTTTGCTACACAGATAACATTATTTAGGATTCTATTTTATGTTAGACAAAAAGGCAGAAGAGCAGATTTAGGATCAAAACTATTAAAGAAATAAAAATATTGGCCAGAGTACCCAGAACATACATACATTCTTAAAATGTTTTATTTCAGTGGGATATATTTAGGATGCTTTCTGTTTTTCACTAAATGCAAACTTTTTGAATAATACACTTCTGGAGGAATAAAACATTTAAAGAAGACTTTAATAATCAGTCTTGGAGTTAATAAACAAGTCTTAGAAGTGTTATATTTATTTTATGAGCCACCTTACTTTTTGGGTGTTTAGTAACTTACCGTGTCCCATTTGGCATTCATTTTCTCCTTTTCAAATTTAGCAAATTCCCTTCTGTCATGAATTATCATTAAAAGCTTCCATATTAGCAGTAATGCAAGGCCAATAAGAACAATTCCTGCAACCACACCAGCTACAATTGGGATGATGTCTGGACCAGTGGGACACTCTGGAAAATAAGAAGGTAATGATGAGCAAACAAGGGACAAGTTATGTGCAAAGTCCAGCCATAACCACGAACAGTATCTTTCTTTTATGGATCTTGCTTTTACTGGGCAATATCTTATAAAAAAGA